AAAGTCTACACTCAAAACTCTCTCTGCTGCAACTGAATATATTGAGTAGGGCTAAAGAGCCTGGTTCCTTTTCATGACGTGTGACAAGATCTGCATCTAAGGAACCTAAACTCCTTTCGTCACTATAACTGTGTCTCTGTCCTTTCTCTAAGAATAGAAAGGAAACAACAGTGGGAACTTATAAATACTGAAGATAAATCTTGTATTGGATCTGAATTTGTAATATGGGTGACCACTAGTCAGTATTTTAATGGAATGACTTCTGCCATTTGATCTCTACCAATGCTAGAGAACATCTGAGTGTTTGCATTTTACAGAAAATGAAACTGAATCACCTCATTGGACCTGTACTTGAGTTCTTGCTTCTAGGAAGTGAAGGAGGCAAGACATGAACACAGTTTGACCCCAGTTTTGTGTCAGTGTATTTCATGCAGTGTTAAAAAGGTTTGCCACTCAAGGGAAAAGAGTGATAAGGTACAACTTGAGTAGGTGGCTCTGCAGCAGTCTTGGGGACTGTAGAGGATTTGGAACTCTAATTACCACTTTCAGCACACAGCCCAGTCATGTCTGGAGGCTGTTAAGAGACATTCCTGGTTCCTGCTATCCATAGTGGTTACTGTCTAGTAGATTCCCACACCAGTCCCTGGAAAACCACTGAGTCAGGCCATGACTTCCGATAACCCCACGGGAAGAGGACTGGTGTCATCTCATATTTAGGAGTATTCCCATGAAGGGACCAGCTTCCCTTTTGGCAGCCATAACGGCCGAACACATGCTTCTATGACCTTGTCCTAGACACTAGAAAGTCAGATGCCTGCCTCGTGACAAGGAACCAATCAGAAGTTAGCTGGTGGCACTATGCTTTACAACCCTGGGTGTGCTTTACGGACAAGCGAACAGCAATGACGTAGAGAGCATAGCAACCACCCTGGGGGGGCCTATGAGCCATAACAACCAGTTGACCAATCAACACAGGGCAAGCCCTCCAAGCCTGGAGGCACACCAATCGTGAGCCTGTGCATACCCTAGACACTCCCCTTACGCTGTCCTATAAGATCTCTTGGGAGGCCCTAGGAGCTGTCTTTTGCGAGCCATCCGCCATGGCGGATGGGTGAAAGACCCGAACTAACATGGGGTTAGCTCGTTAAATTACAATAAAGCCTCGTGCAGTTTGCAGCAAGCTCTGGAATCCGTCTGGTGATTGGGGTGACCTCAGACGTGGCCTGGGACCCCGGATACTTGAGTTTTCGGGGTCTAACACCCACAGCTTTGAATCTCATTGCTTTCTTTGGAGCTAAAGTCTCCCAGGAAAAGGTAGACATGTGAACACCATTGGTTGCTCAGTCTTTGAAGTCACACTGTTAAAAAGTCAGGTAATTGGAAGACAGACCTAGTATTAAAGTGTAAAGAGCTGCAAGGTCTATGGGTGGAGAGCCTCTTTCATGTCCTTAGAATTACCCATGTAGGCATAAATATCATGTTGAATGGTAGCAGAGATATGGTTTTGAATAGAACACTGATGTATCCTTGGATCACACACCCAGCAGGAAATAAAGTATATAGTGTGAAGGGAAAGATTTGGTGTGTGAGAACACAACCACACACACAGCAAACAAAACTAGCAATGTAAGACTTTTTACCACTTCTATCCCTGACAGTCCAGCTCCTTAACTCACATTCTCAGCACTAGTTACAGATTCATATGGAGAAAAGGGCATGCCATTCTATTTTAGGGAATCCAACTGTTACCTACATAAAGGAGGTAATACCTGCCTCCTCAGAACTATACATGGTGCATAAACAAGCAGATATAACATATGCTAAAGGGACAAAAATAAACATGCTTCCTGCCTCATAGGAAAAACAGTTAACAATGAGCTGAAGTGAGTGAGGGATGCTACTAGACGGTTTGAGATAGTTTGAATATAATAGTAGAGTTCTTAACAGGATTGACTTCTTACAAGGAAATATTTACAAGGTATGATACTTGGCATATGCTTGCTGCTTGTACCAGTAGAATATGCTGTTATTATTATTAGCAGCAGTAGTAGTTTTTATTAAACAGAAGCTAGTATATGGCATGGCACTATAAGAAACTTCAACTTGACAATTTTGAGACTATGATTTTTGATCATTGACTGATACAAGGAATGAGGGATTTATTCAGAAACAGTTGCAGTTTTTCAGATCCTGTGCCATAGCACAGGCAGGGAGAATGGAAGAATATGTGAGTAAGACCAATTGATAAAACAAAATACCACAGACTATGTGGTTTAAACAAAACCAACAGAAATGCATTTTTCAGTTCTAGAGGCTGAGTCAAGTTGCTGACTTTCAGATTCTGGTTCTATACTTGTGAGCAGCACCCTCTTCTTGCCTTGTCTTTACTTGGGTGGGGTTGTTATGACCTGGGCAGGGAAATTATAAACTCTGTGGTTTTTCATACAAGGATCTAATCCCATTGTATCAGAATAGCATCATTTAAGCAATTAGTTCCTGGAAATACCTGTCTTCAAATATAGTCCCATTGAAAACTAGGGCTAGTCTAGGAATTTTGGGTTGGAAGACACACTTAGTCTGTAGCAAAGAATAAAATCAGTGGTTTGCCTTTTCCTTGTTTGTATTTGCTGAGACAAGTGTGGGCTCGGGTTCTCAGATCTGGGTCGAAGATTTGGGTGACTGGGTGGATGATGGATACCACTTATGGAAAAATCTGAAATTTTCTTTGAATATGTTTATGTTTTGTTAAAATTGTTTTTTTCTAATAGGTTTTTGTGAGGGCTGGTAACCATGACTGTGGCATTTGGAATTTATTTTACCCAAAAGGACAGTGCTTCTGATCCTTTAAAAATTATTATGCAGTTCATTGTGTTTATAATTTATAACAAGCTGAATGCTAAACTCACTTGTTTTCTACATTGTAGCAGTTAGTTCCAGCCAGTCAGTGTCTTAAAAGAAAAAGGGAAGAAAATAAGCACAAGCAGCTACAAAGTAATGGGTGTTTTTGGTAGTATGGGTTAGTCCCTCCCCCACACACTCCCCAACAGACACATGCATTTCCTGCTTGCCTCTCAGGCATCTTGACTTCTCTGCTTCTGCTGTAAGACCGGATGAAGGTGGGTGTTCTCCTGAAGCCTTCCATTTGACAGTGTTTGCAGATCTTTTTAAATATCCAAGGCAAGTGCTTATACCATTTGTTCCCTTTAACATGCTGAGTCTATCCAGTGTCTTTTGGAGGGCTTATAGCAGTTGTGAATTCCAGACACCCTGCAGAAAGGAAATTGCTTAGCGAATTTTATCTTGTTTGTTTTATGTTACAACTTTTATGCAGTTACTTTCTTTTCCATGAAGCATGAGACATAGGTATCTGCACGTATTCAATACACCCATACATCAAGGACTGAAATAAGTTTGCTTTTTAAGAGACTGATGATGCTAGGCTCGTGGTACACAACTCTAATGATGAGCTACTCTTGGGAGAGTTTGGAGGTTCATAAATTTGGCTATAGAATCAGTTCAAGACCAGTTTAGTCAACATAATGAAGCCATTTTAGGCTTTATTAAAAAATAGAAAGGTCTAGGAGTGTAGTTCCAGGATAGAGTGCTCACACTGTATGAATAGGGTCCTCAACTCCATATTTACTACTGGAAAAAAAAAAGAAAGAAAGAAAGAAAAGAAAGAGTATACAAGTAAGGAAAAAACAAACTAAAAGCAAACAAAAAATCAAAAATCAAAGCTATAAACTTTTGGAGAAAAATGTACAAAAAAAAAAAAAAAAAAAAAAAAAAAAAAAAAAAAAAAAGAAAAAATGTTGGGAAAAAAAATCCCCCTGCCACTGGATTCTACTGTGAACACATTGAAGCAAAACATGACCTTTAAACTTGTACAGTTCACCCTATATTTCCTGTTAACTGATGTACTTAGACATTACCTAATTATTATGCAGCTGGTGATATGTTGCATGTTGATATTGAGTGTTAACACATGAGGCAACCTGCTCTTTTGAAATGTAAGGAGCAGCTGGGCCTGCCTGCTACTTCAGGGTCAGGAACAGTACTAGGAGATACCTATACTGAGCAACTGTTAAGAAAAATTACCAGCAACTGAGACTTCAAGACTGTTGGTGCCTTGGAGGCGCTGATGTAACCTGTGAATATTAATATTAATTCTAAGTCTTGTATCTGACTGCCTGCTTACTATTTCACTATTTCACTTGAAGGCAAGTCTTGGGAAGTTGCCTAGTAGCACCTGAAATTTTATTCAGGGAGTTAATATCTTTAGATATTATTGTATTGCCTGATATGTAGAATATTAACCAGGTCTTTATCTTACCCAGGTGGTTTTTTTGTTTTGTTTTATTTTGTAAAACTATTCCACAAATGCTTTGAGAACCTGTCTGTCTTATCATTTTTGTTTCATTTATATCATTTTTATCATTTCATCAGGTAATGATATAAAAAACTAGTTGTCCATGCATGTTCCTATAGTTGTGAGATTCATTCTTTTTTGTTTGTAAAAAGTTTTGTTACTATCAAAGCATTTCTGTCCTATAACTTAGTGTGAAGTCTAGGGATTGTCTTTCAATGCCACCAAAGAGTCCAATATCTGCAGGTGGCAATTGTTGCCTCTTTTGTTTTTCACAGGGTAAGTTTAGTATAAAACAAGGTGTTACTAATTAAAGTATCCTAGGCTGAGAATGAAGCTTAGGGCTAAAGTGCTTGCTTCGCATGTCTGAAGATTTCTTTTGATGCCTAGCACCACTGAAAGAAACTACGTATATAGGTTTTTATATGTGTATTCTATTTCATAATAATAAAAACATTCTAATTGTTTTTTCAGGCTTGAGCATACAAACAGAAAATAGCATTCTGAAAACAACAAAAAATATTCTGAAAACAGTCTAAAGAGTGATAGAGGAAAAAAAACCATAAGAAGTAGATCCTTGTGTGTGTCTCATCGGGCTGCTTTTTAATACTCAGGTAGTAATGAAGCCACCATTATGTCCTCAGTCAGTGAAGTAAATGTGGACATCAGAGATTTCCTAATGAGCATCAATTTGGAGCAGTACCTGGTACATTTCCGGGAATTTGGTTTTTATACTCTGAAGGACTGTGCATCGATAAATGATAGTGTGCTACACCAAATTGGAATCTCACCGACAGGACACCGTAGGAGGATACTTAAACAGTTACAAATGATCTTTTCAAAAATGCAAGACATCCCAATATATGCAAATGTTCATAAAACAAAGAATGGCAACGCCTCAAAAGAGCATCAGAATCTTCCATCTTCTAGCAACACCACCTGTGTAGAATTTTCCGATTGCATTAGTGTTCATAGACCTGGCCTGACACCGGTGGAGAAAGTTACAATGAGTACCTTTGGTGTGGGAAATTGCCAGTCTCCTAAATCACATGATAAGCTATCACTTCCTTCAGAAGAAGAGCTACCCCAGAATGTAGATTCTTCACAAGATTCTTTATTTGGTAGTGCAAATGTTAAAATAGATTCTTTAATTACCCAGAAGGCAGTGGATTGTACAGATGGAGAAGAACAAACAGAAAAAGTCAACTTGATATCAGAAAATTCTAGAGTGGCTTTTAGCACAAACCCTGAAAGTCTTCCCTCTGTGGACTATCCAACATCAGAAACACATTCTGGAAGTGGTACTAATGGCTTATTAGAAAGCTCCCCAGCATCCCCATTCTTTCAGTTTCAAGGAGAGATGGTCGTGAATGATCTGTATGTTCCATCGTCACCAGTCCACACACCCATGAGAAGCAGGAGCAAGTTGGTTTCCAGACCTTCTCGATCATTTCTGCTGAGACATCGGCCTGTACCAGAGATCCCAGGGTCAACAAAAGCAATTTCTGGGAGGTATGAATTGTTAAGAAAACTTGTGTATTCAATATGGGAAACTTTATTCATGTTTAACAACAGTATTTTCAGTGTTCCTTTCTAAGGCTAACCTCTGTGTGTTTGACCTCTGTATATTCTAATCAGCTTTTCCATTTTTTTTTTCCCAGACTTTTTTTGGTTTTTCGAGACAGGGTTTTTTTTTGTATTGCTTTGGAGGTTGTCCTGGAACTCTCTCTGTAGTCCAGGCTGGCCTCGAACTCACAGAGTTCTGTCTGCCTCTGCCTCCCAAGTGCTGGGATTAAAGGCATGGGACACTAATACCCAGCTTTTCCAGTCATTTTTACCCCCATATTATTTGTACTCCTTATAAGTCCCAGAATCGGTTTCAAGTTCATACATCGCTGCTAGAGACCATAGCCTTTCCCTGTTTCCTTGGGGGCAACATCCCTTCCCCTCACTCCCCCTGGATATTCCTTCCTTTATCTTCTTTCCTCATCTGGTATTGTGTTCCATTAGCATTCATTACATGTTTGAGTTGTTGACTCTTTCTCTCTACTTCATTATTTACTCTTTGGCAGGGAATGCACTTTTAATGGCAGTTTCTCATTGTCTGGCACAGTGCTTGGCATCAATTAATAATTCAACACAAATCTGTTGAACTTGGAAGTATGTGTGCTAGGCAGGGGGATATAGAAAACAAAAGGGTTGCAGTCTAGTTCAGAAGACAAGTGTAAAAAGATGGTGGAAGTCTGGGATGAAGCCATGTTCATGGATCACAGAACCCTGGAACTTCCATTGAGAGGGACCCTACTAAATACAAGTGAGTTGCAGTTCTTCTGAGGTAGCCAGGCAATGTCAGAGAAGCTGACTTCCAGCAGAGAGAACCTCTCCAGGAGTGGTTTGGGTATGACTGGCCCATCTTTCCACTGATAGCTAATTCATGTCTCTACTGGGCATTCAGATGTGACTCATGCTTGTGGCTACTGTAGAGCTTTTCAGGCTTCCTGCACACACTTCAGGCTGACAGGCTTTCTGCTGAGGTTCCTTTGCAGCCTGAATCTGTGGGTGCCACTTTTTCTTTTGCCCTGTGGCACCCTTAGTAAGTAATTGTACTTGTTAGAGAAGTAATTGTATTTGTAAGAGAAAAGGTAACAAGACATCATTGTAAAGTGTAGCAATTTATGACTTGTTTGAATTTAAGTATATTAGAACTTAATAGAACTCATATATTAGAACATAAAACCTTTGAGTTCAGAGACCCTAATCTATTTTTCTTTGTCATAATGGGCCTGATACCAATAGCAGTATCTGGTGTTTGTGGCAATCAGCTGTAAAAAATATCATCTATAAAATATGCAGGCCCTAGTTTGCTCCAAAATTTTCAGCCTGTTGTCCCTTCTTCACAGAGGCCCTAGAAGTAGGGAGGGATCACTCAGTGTTACTCATAAGGTAGCAATCAGAGGGTAATTTTCTCAAGATCTCAGGGTCAGGGAACTGAGACTTCATTCCAAAAAAGTGTCAATGCCACCAGACAGAAAGAAGCCTGATGTTTACCAGAAATCAGTGGTAATGTCACAAGCAAGTGCCTAGCTTGCTCTAAAATGTATAGAACACAACAGTTTTTTCTTCATATTTGCCATTCAGGATTTATTTTTAGAAATACTAGACAGCACACCCAATGTAACTTGAGTTTAGAAATTGCCATAACTGAATACATGAGGAACATGACTACTGCACAATAAAGAAAACAAACAGAGTGAACAGCACATTTCTCCTTACTTATAATTACTGGGATATTTTAACTGAAATTTTAGCATATGAAATATATCTTGAAGATAATAAAAGAAGATGTTAGTATATGGGTTAAAAATACCAATAAATTATAAAACAAAAATACAATATGATTATAGTATTAAATAATTGCAATACAGAGCTTGTTGGTTCCATGTTACACTGGTTGCACTCCCAGGTCTATTTGGGTGTTTGTACACCTGCCAGCCTCTTCCTTCAACCTCTTACTCTTTCCTATCATATATAAATCTATATTAAATCTTTTTCTTAACAAACTCTAACTTTGCTTCAAAAACAAATGACTTTATAAATTTTTTTATTCAATTCAGTAGCTGCTTATCACTGTTCTTTCTACCTTCTGTATATTTTGCTCTCAAAGTGTATAAAATAGTCTTCTACACAGGGAAGAAGTCTATTCTCCTTGTCTAATATAGGCTTGCACTATGTAGCCCAGGCTGGTTTGGAACCTTCAATTCTCCTACGTTTGCCTCCAGAGGGATGGGATTACAGACATGAACCAACATGTCAGAGCCAAGATTTCTAAGAAGTTCAAAGAGGGCTAGAGAGGGCAGGTTTTAGTTTTAACTGTTCTTGGGGCAGATGGATCTTCATCATTGTACAAGTGTGCACCAACCTCTTTCCAAGTCCTCCTTTTCCTCTTCTTTAAACAATCATAATAAGGTGCTTTATCCAAAAGTGAGGCTTCTGCAAGCTGTGCCAAGGGCCAAACAGTTGCATGAACAATGCATAAAATCCATTAAGGAGAGGAAAGGGAATGGAATATATTTCTTTAAATAATTTAAGACACACTGTCTTCCTCGACCGGAACTATCCTGCATGGGATCACAGGACACTCCCAGAATTCCTCAAGCAAACAGCAGGAGTCTAGTTACTTTCTGCTCTAGCACCACCTCAAAGTAGAGACAGTAAAGGAGGAAGCTAGCCTGCCATTCACTGCCCTCCCCCTCCATACTAGCCCTGCCGCCCAGAGAAAAAGAACAGGTGTGAATTCAGAACAAGTTAAGGCAAGGAGAGAAACAATCCATTGAACTAGACTGTCAACTGTGTCTGATAAGTTAGGAGAGGTGACAGAGGGAGGAGACAAGGAAATATCATTATCTGGTGCAAAAAATGTGTGCAGCATCTTTTGTAGTTGTTATTATTTGACCAGAGAGACACTTCCATTCTGTAACCCACAGATTTGAAGGGACATATGACAGCACCCTGAAACTGTGCATGTGTTATTTGTAATGCAGAGGACCAGAAGGAAAAACAAGACCGTGGCCTTCAGGAAGTATTTGCCTTTGCTTGTTTCTTTTATGGTCTGAGTACCTCCTGAGAGCTCAGATAACAACAGGCGTACACCACCACACCTGGTTTATTCAGTGCTCATAGTCATTTAATACAGGGCTTGCCGCATGCTAGGAAAACATGCCCAATTAGGCTATATCCCCAGCTTCCCCCATTCCTAATGCATGAGTGTATTTCTCTTTACTCCACAGTAGAAAAAACGTAAGATTTCAATGACCAAATCTAAAAACCATACAGTGAATGGTACACAGACAGCAAATACTAGATTATTTATAATTTATCTTGATGTTGTTTTACTTCTAAATGTTCTTAGTTTTAGTGTCAACAGACTTTCATGTGATACAGAAATTTTTTTCCGTCCAAAGGAATCAAAACTATATCACTCTGGCATGTGAACTATTTTAAATTAAAGGCACTTCATGCAGGTGTGTAGAAGCAGCAGGTGGGAGGGTATTGCTCTAACCTTGGCATTATTTCTTAAAAGCCGAAGATGAAATTTCCCAGAGAAAGGAATAGCATCCTTATCATCAAGGATAGAAATGGACCACTAGACCCAGAGTAATCTGTACAGACTTCATAATAAAAAGAAGCCTTAGCTTTTGTTTACACTTTCCATAGTTTCCTTTTATAACTGGTTACCCCTTAGCCCCATTCAATTTGTAAGGGTGATGACTGTTTCTTACCCTTTCCTTCTCTGTGAAGGTTCCTGTGCCAGCAATTCTTGTACTTGCTTGTGACGCTTTCTCCTCTTACTCCGACATCCATCCAATTCTAGACCTGTTAGGACTCTCAGAGGATGAGAGTGCAGCATCACAGGCCCAGTGCAGCTACAAATGAGCATCAATATTCTCTAAAACTTGCAAAAAAGTAGCACACGCCACATGATTTAAACCTAGTGCTTCTCATCTCGCAGTCATCTGCCAGAGTTACCATGGGATTCAGTTCTGCCATATGCACTCACTGTAGATCTCTCACACAGAGAATGCTTCTGACATAGGAAGACTTATAGGCCTTTCCTTTCACTTAAATGTTCAAATTTACTAAGTATTTTAAAGCTATATCTTGGAGTCAAATTCTTATATATGAGGTCAGCTTTTTTTTTTTTTTTTTAAATCATATTTAGAAGTTGGGTTCCACTACACCAGCATGCCCTAATAACCTTACGGGTACAGTGGAGGCATGCTGGTGGTAACCGACAGCTCTCTAATTAGACTTAAGACCCATTCATCAAGAGTGAAATCATATTGGTACTGGAAACCTAGCTAACTGCCCAGGGCTAGTGAAGTCATGGATCTTGAATGAAGACCTACAATTGCCGCTTTACTAAACCAGCATAATTCTTTAATACTACTATGTCTGCCCTTCTACTCAATCATGTGTAGTCCTCAATCCTTATCAAAGAAAACTCAACAGAGACAATTACAGAAAACCACAACCAATCAAAATGTAAAGTTGTGGAGCCAATCCCTGGATATATCTACAAAACAAATTTCACATCTAAGGATCAAGGAATCTTGCAGAAGAGGGGCCAGAAACTTTAGAAGAGCTGGGGGATCAGGGAGTTTGCTGTGAGACTTCATTCTAGTAATTTCAGAACCTACACCCCTAAAGTCTCACTAATATGACTGCCTAAACATGATCTGAACAAGGATGACAACAGTAAACATGATAAAGTCGACTGGAGAGGGAGGGGACTCCCTAAGGCCTTACCCTACACAAATAACTGTATAGACAACTAAGGAATACTGAGAGTAGAAGAAATAAGACTTCCCAAGAAAGGAGCACACCAATTTGTTATCCAAATGGTCACACACCTAAAGGTAAATGTGCAGACATTTCCGAGAGAGAATGATTTGTTTTTTATTGGTCTCTCTCTCTCTCTCTCTCTCTCTCTCTCTCTCTCTCTCTCTTTGTATGTGTGTGTGTGTGTGTGTGTGTGTGTGTGTGTGGTGTGGTGTGTTTGTGTGTGTGCGCAAACACATATTCACATATTTTGTTTAATTGGTGCTGAGGACTGAGCCTAGGGCCCCCTGCAGGCTATGTGAATGCTCTACCATACAACCATCCTTTCTTTCTAATTTTTTAATTTGAGAAGATACCAAGTTGACCAGCCTGGCTTTGATCTCACTCTATAACATAGGAGTCCTTGAATTTCGGATCCCCTGCCTCAGCCTCCTGAGTAGCTGATCTAACAAGCTTGTGTGTAGCGCACTAGCCTCTGTGGTTGTTAAGCAAACCTTAATGGAGAGGGTATTGGAAAGGTAAGGGGGAGAAAAAACGGGAATTCCAGGAATGGGTCCAGACTTCCCCAGAATAGGTTATCCCCATTTTTGTCCTATATGAAATTTCCCAGATGTGTTGTGCCTTCACATACAGGGTGTAGACAGGCTAATGATAATGGAAGTGTCACTGCCCTAAAGGAAGGAAAGTTAGCAGTTATTTTTGGTAGGTCCTGTTTGTTGGTCCTAGGGGAGTGGAGGTTGTCTTTCTGCAGTACAACTCTGTGATTGTGTCAGTCTTCAGCCCCACATGATTTGTGATCCCAAGTCCTGTACTACCCCATGCTTATCTCAATCTACACTACTTCTTTTTCCTACTCAGAGATTTTCATATTAGGAAATTGAAAAGTGAAAGAGATGGATTTCCCATAACTCCTTCAGCTTTCCCCCCTAATAAATATAGTGACAATTGACTCATTTATGTTTTATACTCTTACATATCCAAACATAATGGTGAATGGACTCATGAAGTATGTATCTTTTAAAATTGCCCCTTTTTTACATCAGGAAATAAATAAGGGTGGAGATGGTCAGTCAGCAGAGGTCCTGGCTTCTGGAACCAAGAGAACTTATCTGTGAGAGCTGGAATAGCAAAGTACCACAGCTGACTTTACACATGCATATTTCTTATCACTTATTGTGTCTTTTTCATAAATTATATAATACTATATAGGGAATAGGGGACCCTGGTAAGATTTGGCTTACTCTCTGGTTTTGGACAAAGTGTAATACAGTCATCTTTTCATTTTATGTATCTTATCATTTTCTTTTGATATGAGCAGATAGCTAGAGGAGCCAGGCAGAGCCAGGCTTGAGGCTTGGCCAGGAGCTCTGATAACAATGAGTCACCACCCCTTGATGAGTGCAAGGCGGTAAGCACAATATGGAAATAAAAGGGTGAAGAAGAATTCATTACTTGTACAAGTCAGGTGAGCACTGGGGATAAGTCCCTAAGTGCCATCTCTCAGAACAAGGAAAGCAAAAGGCTTTTGTTATGGGATCTCTTAGTTCTTAGCTTCTAGATGGAACAAATTCCACTGAGACAGAAAGGATAAAGGTAAAGTTGATTTAGCAAAGCAAGCAAGCTCTCCAGTAGAAGACTAAAGCTTTCCTAAAGAAGGGCTATGAGTCCAGTAGCTTCTGTGTTATAGATTTTAAACATTTTATGAGCATTTATGAAGTGGGTGGTGTATTTGTTGGATAAGGTGACCATTTGTACTCCCAAATTAATGGTAGGCCTGATTTTACTTGTAGGGTGTTTCATCCTATAATCCTCCGGAAAAGCTCATATAGGTAGTGAGGTTGGTGGTGAATTCAAGACTGAGCTATGTAATAAAGCCCTGCTTAAATCAGCAACTGAATTTCCATAGTGGGTGTACTAGCTTGCACTCCCACCAGCAATGGAGGGGTGTACCCCTTGCTCCACATCCTTGTCATTATGAGCTGTCACTGTGTTTTTTATTTCAGCCATTCTGACAGACATATTAGAGAACAGAGGAGGAGTTGATCTTGAGGAGAGGGGAGATGGGGGAAAGGCTGCAAAGAGTAGAGGAGAGAAATTGCTCTCAGGATGTAATATGTGAGAGAAGAAGAAAAGTTCAAAACAAAACAAAACAAAAAACAGCAAGCAAACCAACAAAACATATACAGGATGATTTCTTTCCCTTTCACATCTGTAGGCTGCAGGCACTTAATATTATTTTGCTCATCTTGTTACTTAGGCTAAAGCTCCTGGAATACTGTGAATATGAAGGATGTGAGCAGATCTTCAGTCAGGGGAAAAACTTAGCCTTCAGTTACTGCTTTTAGTACCTCCTTTATAAAAGCCCTTTCTATGTTAAAGATTCTTACTTCTAGGTGTTGACAACTTTTATTATAAATAGTTGTGTCTTGTTATAGAAATGTATTTTTGCATTTTTGTTATGTTGTTTTTCCCACTGCCAAATAAACATTCATCTCTTTGCTATAAATTTTGCTTACTTATATTATTCCTTTTATGTATTGGTGGACTTGATTTACTACTATTTTTCATTAATGCCATGAGCAATATGTTTTTATTAATTAGTTACCATTCACATTGGGTTAGCAGGATAAGTTGAGGAAGAAAAATTTGTCATCTGTTTCCCAATATATATATGATTGATACTATTTCTTTAATTGTATTTTGGAATTTGCTCTTGAAATATTTGGTCCTGGAGGTTTTGTGAGTGGATGAAACATTACTAAGTTTAACTTTTTTTTGTAGAGATGGAAATATTTAGTTTTTCTTTAACCTTTGCAGATGTAATCACTTGAATACATGAATAATGCCCAGTTTGTTAATATTTTGGCCATAAGCCTTTCTTACTAATCTATCTCTCCAGTGTTCTCAGGTTTTGTAGTAAGGTCTTCTATTTTCACTTCTCATATTGTTCGTGTTTATCTTCTCTCTCTCTCCTATTTTCTTTCACTGAAATTTATCCATTTTGTTGATCCTATAGAAGCCCCGTTTTGTAACAGTATGTTTAAAATTTTGTCCATATTCTATTGCATTGATTTTTGTTCTTTTGTCATTTTTTGGCCTCTAACTCCTTGGGCAAATATTTATCTAAGAACAATTAAATATGCCTCTGTATTTCCCTTTAGGTTCTTAAACCAAACTTCCATCTAGCAGTTGATACTCTGTTCTTTCTTTTGTACACTGTCTGCCCCGTTGTTGCTATTTTCATGCTATTTTCTCATTGTATACATGTCATGACTGATGCACAGACTATGAGGCATTTGAAGAAGTATTTTAATATTATGTTTTTGAAACATATATTTTTGATAAAATGTGATAAAAGTAATGTTAAGATAGCTACATAAATACTCACGTCTATTACTTTGTTTCTGACAATTTTGAAACCAAGTGTATATGAACATGGACAAATACATTTTTAAAAAAAATATTTGAGTACGGCAGGGAGGGGATTTATGATATCCTATGAAATCTCTCCCTTGAATACCAACTAAATAAAAAAAAACAAATTGGTGGGCTATGTCCTTGATCTATTAATTCAAGTGAGATCTACATTTGAGAATTGGTGTTTCTACTTAAAGTCTAAGTCTTATACATCCTGTATTCAATATAGTATAATAACATAACTTTTCCTTTTGCTTTAAGCTATTTCCGTGACAGGAGAAGTGCTACTACCTCAGCTGGAAAATCTTTGACACTGAAAAGTGAGTCTCTGCATCTAACTCTCATAAATTAGTTTATGCTCAGGTGATCATCTTAAAGTAAAGTTGTTCTGTGGCAGTAGCCTGCCTGTGGTATAGGGAATAATTCAGATGACAATTCTCACTTCCATACAACTTTAGGACCTTAAAGATAGTGACTACCAAAGAAGTGAGCATTGGGGCTCCTAGAAATTTGCCCATGCTTACATCAAAATATGTTTTAAATGCACTCTTCATTTATCATTAGTCAAAGGTATCCAGCTAAATGAAAAGTTTGTGGTGGTCCGAGCTACAGAATAATTATGTCTAAAAGATATTTTGGTTCTGTGAAAAGTTTGACATCCTTTCTTTGGTGAAGTAATCATTTTTTGTATCTTTCTTTTTGCTATTTGAAAATCTGCTTAATACATGTTGCAGAACATTTTTTAAATATAAGTAGCAAATGACTGGGTACTGTACTTTTGGAAAAAGTTGTCCTAGAAGAAAAGCAAGTATTGCGGCTTCTGGCCTGTAGATCAATGCAGTTTGAAGATACAAGATACAAGGTGGTTTCTTGAAATTACTGCCCTATAAGTATGTTAGTAGCTGAGAGGGGTTATATCAATGAGGTCTAAGGTTTGAAATGATATCTAGATATTATATTATTGAACTGTTTACATATGTTTATTGAGTGTTAGAATTTAGATCCTTCCTTTTAAAATATTCTTTGTTTTCTGAACTGGCTTAAATGTCACTGTGCCAGTTTCTGTTATACACAGACAGGGTTCTTGGTTATATTCATGTGCATCTTGGAGGCTAGTAGGGCCATATGTAACTAGTTCTGACTTTGGAGTTAGTGACCTCATTGTCAAGTGAGTGATATGTATTAAGACTGTGGGAAGAGTTGACTTGGGAAGTAAGAATTGGGAATATCATTTTGGTCACTTGTAGAATAATCTTTAGGTTGTGATATTGCTATAAAATAATTAAACAATGCTTTTATATTTATTTTTGCACTCTCCCACCTTATTCATCTTTTCCATTGTCATTCTGTAATTCCCCCAAAAGATTCAAAGGAGGATAATTCAACTTCCATCTTTCCATATGGAGAGACATTTCTCTTCCAGAGACTAGAAAGTTCCAAGGTTAGTCCCATTCATTTTATTTTATGTTCCATAAGCTGTTATTTGTTCTGTAGCTTATCCATGCTTTTTCATTTTCCTATAAACTATTGTAATGATGCTATGAGATTTGCCAACAGTAAAATTTTAGCTTGGTCAATTATGATAATCTATGCCTTTAGCTATGTATCATGGAGACACATTTTCACACTGATTCCAGCAGTATAGAATAGTGCATTGAAGGACTTCACATGCAATGTAACTTACTACATTAAAATGATTAAACATCAATAAAGTGTAAAACTCCCTAAACTTTTCTTGGCCTTAGCTACAGAGACAGTCTTTGTGAGTCTGGAAGTTTGCATTTATGTATTTTATTCAGGTTAATGACTCAAGTTTTGTTTCTAGTACTTCCCCTCATTTATTATTTTATTTGTTAGACTTGATAAAAGAAACATGGGAGAAAAGTGCATATCAGAAACAGCTAAGGAAGTAGCTCAATGGCAAAGCACTTGTCTGGCATGCACAAGGTCTTGGGTCTGATTCATAGCTTCTCTCCATAGGATAAAACAGAAACAGCTAAAATCCACAACCAAACAAATCATACTGGGGAGTAAAAGTATGGAAGTTTTACTTTTAGTTAACATTGTTTATTCTTTTTTAATATAATGAATTAACTTAAATTAAATGCTGAAGACATCAGACATCAGAGATTGTTTGATGTTTTCTTTTAAAAAATTGTTTTCACCAGAAAAATGATCTGAGCAATTAAATTTGTTTAATAAAAATCTCAAATATTGTAGGTCTTGGTAGTGTGTGGTTATACCGTAGATAATTACCACAATCAACATGCAAAACAATGAATTTATTTATTTTTTAACAGAAGAGATCTATAAAGAATGAGTTTTGGGCCCATGAGGACACAGTCAAAGAGGATGCAGTCACTACAAAGAACTCTATCTCAACCAAGTCAAGGTATGCCTGTGACTGCTGATGAGTCTCTTTACAGAACAAAAGATTTTAATTCCAGCACTGGAGGCCCAGGCAGGGTGATCTCTGTGCATTCTAAGCCAGCCTGGTCTACAGATTGAGTTCCAGGACAGCCAGAGCTGTTAAACTGAGAAGCCTTGTCTTGAAAAACAAAACAGAACAAAACAAAACAAAGCAAGCAAACAAACAAACAAACAAGATGTAGATGACAGGGAAACCCACAGAGACAGCAGACCCAACTAGTGGGATCTCATGGACTCTGGACCAATGGCTGGGGAACCTGCAAGGCACCTAACTAGGCCCTCTGCATGTGGTCTGTTTTGGGGCCCTGGCAGTGGGACCAGGATCTATCCCTAATGCATGAGCTGGCTCTTTGGAGCCCATTCTATATGGTGGGATGCCTTGCTCAGCATTTCTAAGAAAGGAGTTTATCTGGTCAAGTTCGAAGCTTCCCTTTCCTTCTGGATGTTTTCTAGACAGTGTTCATTTTAATACTTGACCTGTTTTATGTAAATGGAGTAACTGCTTTAATTCTAGAAGGTGAATGTTATTCCCTAGAGGGTTATTTTTTGTCTCCTTCTAACTGTACCCATTCATCCTTGCCCAATGAGGTGAGTATGTGGTGACTATATACACTTTTGTCCCCCCCCAAAATTGATTTGATATTTATTAAACACAGTTTCTTCAGCTCTGGTTGGGCATTATACAAATCTTCTTAAAGACACAGTAAGGTTTAAAGATTTATACAGATTAAAATAGGATATTTTATTTATAGAGATTGAAACAATATCTAAGTAGTTTTAACTGCAATGAATTTGCTTAAAAATACAAATTTAATGCATATTTGACTCTAAGGTTTCTGTAATCTGAGTTCCATCAAAAACGTATTATATACTTTGCAGATGTGGGACAATCTTTCAAATACATAATACTTTGTTCTCCATTAGGTCATTGTTCTCTAAGATGGACTATATTTTAGTACAAAGGAAAAAGAGGCAGTAGAAAATCACACTGAGCTTAGAATTATACAAATGTAATATGTCCTTTGTGTTAGAAATTCACTTTTGAGATGAGTTCATGATGACTCAGTTATTCTGGTAACACATAAAATAAGACCCAAACTTACATTTCGTATTTCTCTCAGTTTTAGTTGGACTTAGTGTGCTGGAATATTAGTCATATTCACTTTATTTTCTACCTTAATTTCCCAAAGTGAATACTGTTGTGGATTTACTTGAGTTAAAAATAAATAATGCATCCTAAGCAAGTGTTCAGAATCCTTTATGATACAAAATGGGCAATGACTAAGAATCAGTGTTTAGAGCATTTTATCATAAGGATTCGTATGACCTGTTTTCTGTCTCATTGATTAGCAAAAAATTTCTTCATAATGAGATTTATTTCATATAAATTATTGAACTTACTTTGTCATTTGTGAAATTTGTAGGAACATGCTTAGCAATTATAAGTGCATTCCTGTAAATATTACCCCTGACTCGGCTTTTACCTTGTGATATACACTACCCCTTGCTTGTTTGTTGGCCTAGCAATGTGGTGCAGTGTTTGTCCCCTAGCACTGTAACACAGTACTGAGCTGTCAGCCTTGTTCTCTGCTGTATTACCTTAGGGTGGAACATGGAGTCCTTCAAGTAGATTAGTTAGATAAGTAGACTGATGTCCTCAAATAGATGAGTTCATGGTTCACTATGTTGCCTGGAGACTAGAGATGGAGTAGGATATTGGTGCTTTTTATGATGTTTAAATTTTGATGGAAAAACTCATTGTTCCCCTGTATTATTACCTGCACTTAACCTCCTGAGGATAGAATCTTGTTTAAATTATACATAAGACACTTGGTGGTGTTCACATATGCCATAGGACAATAGAATGTTTCTATTCAATTTTTCTGAAAAAGGTGTGTGTGTGTGTGTGTGTGTGTGTGTGTGTGTGTGTGTGTCTGGAAGCTAGAAGTCAATGTTTCCTCAATTGCTCTCCACATTAATATTGTACTTTTAAAGACAGGGTCTCTTTATCATCTGATGTTCTCTGATTGACTAATTTGGCTGGCTAACAAGCCCATGGGATCCTCATGTCTCCAGTACTGGGATTATAGACATGTACTGTCATTTCTGGCATTTACATGGCTTCAATGGACCTAAACTCAGATCCTCTTAGTTGGGTGGCAAGTCCCTAAATAAGTTTTTAAAATTGCCAGATTGGCTAATTGAACAACAAGGAGTGTTTGGTTGTAACTTCCTGTGGTTGGCTGGTTTATAGGTTTTAAAGATTTAACTGACAGCTTAAATTAACCACAACATTTTGAATTTGATTACCATTCTTTCCTATTTAGCATTTTTGATAACAACAAGGAAAAAGTGAGTGAAGACAAAGTAGAAGACATTTGGATACCCCGAGAGGATAAAAATAACATTCCAAAGGACTCTGCTTCTGAGTCAGAATACTCAACAGTAGAGGAATGCTTCCACAGTTTAAGAAGAAAAAACTCAAAGGCATCCAAGTCTAGGACTCAAAAAGCCTTCTACTTGGACCCTTTTAATAGGCACAGTTATCCTTTAAGCTCCACAAGTGGAAATACTGATTCTTCGACTATCTCAAATGCCATCTCTCCTTATGCCTGCTTCTATGGGTCTTCTGCAGCAAAGGTCAAATCTGGATGGCTGGACAAACTGTCTCCTCAAGGGTATGCATTGATACATTTTATTTCCTTAGTGGCCATTTGATAAATTCCAGCTTATTCATTTATAAGTTTGCCAGTTTTCTGTACCCATTCCATACCCCCAAGTTAAATGCTTTTTTAAAAGAGATTTTCAGCATGTTTGCAAATGCTGTGTCCTAGGCCTGTGGGATGGATATATGAAGTGCAGGGCTGCAGTAAGGTTTGGGAATAACAGGACTTCAAATTACAAGTTCAAACCAGTTTCTTAAATTTATTTTCTAACTTGGTAATAAAATGTACTTTCCTGTGTCACCCTTCAGAGCAAAACAGAACAACACAGAGTTATCATTACTCATCCCTCACTGTTTGGATTTTGCTCATATCATAGCAGTGTGTTGTTTGAGAATACAGTGCTCATTGTAGTTAGGAAACAGAACATCATTGTTTAAAATTTAGGTCTGCTATTATTTATCTAGTATCCTGATTTTTTAAAATATGAATAAGTGATAAGTTAAGGATTTCTATTTTATTTAAAGTATTTTAATGAATATTTTATATTTGAACACATAATTAATATAGCTTTACTATGACATTTTCATATTTTGATTACACTGTTTTAGTTTTAATATGTTGCCCAGAAAGCCAGAATGTCAAATACAGTTTTAAAAACAAATTTATCATTTCAAATATTTAAAAATAAATTTCTTTCCCTTTCACATTTTATAGTACGGAAAAATTTTTGGGGATAAATGGCCTTTTTAATTAGAATTCCCAACGTTTTGATTTAAAAACATTTATTGGTACTGGTCTTTAAGAATTGTTACATTAGTGTGGGGTCAAATTTCTTACATGTAAGCAGCTAATATGAGTTCTGATGGTGTGCTGTTTTTGTCTACTGTTCCCCTGTGAGTTTTCTGCAAAGCCTTGCTTTAATCTAAAACAAGTTTAGGAGCAAATATCTGTTAGAAGAAAATCTGAAGCATAGTAAGAGTAGGGATCATATTTCTTAAAAAGTAAAGTTGAACATAAGTTGAATATTGGTCAGATAATTACTAGCCATGAGACACGTGTCCTTTGAGAAACAGACTTTGAATAGAATGCAGTAATGTGTGTCTCACTGTTATTTATGTTATTTTCTTTTGACATTGTGATGACAAACTAGTTTCCTGTGTGTATTTTTTCTTTACTTGGCAGTCTTCAGCATTATTGGTAAATGCATATCTAAGTATCAAAAGCAAGGGCCATGTATTTGTATATAAATCCATATAATAAAGCAGTAGAAAGAAAAATGAGCTAGACTATTTTTCAGTGCTTCATGTCTGTAAAGTATAAATGGTTAGGGAGGTGTCAGTGTGATTGCAGGATTCTCTGTAGCTAAGGTTTCCTGGGTGGACCACAATGGTCTGTGACACTCTATAGGCTTGATACGTTTATGCTCTGGGCACATTGAGAAAGCTTGACCAGTTTTTTTGGACACCTCTGGGATAATTAGAACATTTTCCTTTTTATTTTTATCAAAACTGATTTTTTTTTTCTATTCCCTGCCTATAGGGAAATGTGATTTTAGACTTACATTTTTCCATTTTGGGAATAATTTTCACTTGGTTACCCGAATGAATAAAGATAAGAAAGTAATTTTTTTTTTTCATACAGTACTTTAAAACTCTTGGACTTGGTAATATTTCTGTGACTTGAAAGAGATACTTGTAACTGGCCAGAAAACATGTAATCGAGTCTAAGTAGAATCTGAAACTTGCCCTTTCCTGTTTGGACTTTGTGGGATCTTCGAGGCTGTTCATGAGCCCTCTGATCTTATATGGTGACCTTCCTCATTTCTTAGGCAGAACTTGCTGAGCTTTGACTCATGACCAATTGACTCTGGACCAACTGACATGACATGGCATTCTGAATTCCGTAACAGCCACCAGCAAACTTCCATACAGGGCCAAATGGTCACTATTTGAAGCCCTGTTTCTATATGCTTTCTTTTGCAACTGTGGCATTCAGTTGCTATAGCAGGAACACAGATATCATGAAGATGTAATGCAGTATACGAGGCTGTATTCCAACAAAGGTTATTTGCAAATTTAAATGGGGGGCAGGTTTCCTTCAAGACCCTTAAGTGCATAAACTACAGAGATGGTTGGCTTATATCTCATATAACCATTGTATTCTACTCACTGTATTCCAGATAGACAATAAAAGAATAAAAAGTCAAATAGCTAAGTAGGAAAGTAACTTCCCGTTTTACTGAAGATAAGAAATACTAAAAAGCAGGAGGATTCTTTGGGGGTCTCTCTTTTCTATCCAAAATGTTCTCTTGGAAAAGTGTCATGACCACACACCTTTCTATGCCCTTTCTTTAATGTCTCCTTTGTATTTAATATTACAACAGGATTTCTTCCATCTTGACCTTGATCACTTAATTTCCCTCTGCAGGGTTCATGTACTATAATCCCTTAATTCCACATTACCACCTTTGCAAAAGCCATCTACATTACTTTGGGCTCACCACATTTCCTTCTCAGTAATTACTTCCCACCATATACATGCTTAGTATATGTCACTGAATGTGTCCCTAAAACGCTTGGTGTTAAGCATCATTTTCTTCTAATTTTTCTGGCAGGTATTTTTTAATACAATCAGATGAATTCAATGCTGGGTTAGTATTTGAAACTGTGCAGGTGGCCTTGAAAACAATGGGTATACATTAGCAGGGCAGTGACAACTTGGTCACTTCTGTGGCTGCCAGGAGGGAAAATGCTCTGAGGTGGGTGATGTGAGGTAATGCTACAGAGTGGGACAGGGCAGGAAGAAAATGCCCCAGGACTGGTGGGGAGAAGCTGTCAGAGAAATTAAACTTCCAGTTAAACAGGGCGTGGGGGGGGAGGGGTGAGTGGAAATGTAAAAAATCAGTGGACAGATACCAAGGGAAGGCCAGATCAAATAAGGCTTGGGTAAGACCAGGTGAGGCCAGACTGTGACTACTTGGGAGTTTAGAATTCTTGATGTTTGTTCCTTTGTCTGTGAATGATTTGTCAGCCAGTGTCCAGTCACTGGGGTGTTTTAGTAGGACAGTTCTCTACCCTGATGCAGGAATGTGGTTATCACAGAAGTCCTTGTAATGCAGTGAAAGGCAACTGTGGGAATCTGGCCCCTTTATTTTTCTGATCAAAATGTTAAGTAGCAACTACTTGGTTGAACTGAAATTTGGATCAAAATCCTTGATTACAATTATCTTTTTATACTGGTGAAACAGCTGTGCATTTTAACAAATCACTTATTACCTATAAAGGCTGTGACAAGAAAATAAAACACTTTATTTGCAGTCTGAAGGGGCAAATATTACTTTTAGTAATATTTTACTTTTACTTCCATTGAAGTAAACTGACTAATTCAGTCAGTCTGGCTACAGAAAAAATGCATAAGGCCATGGGAGCCAGACAAGCTAAATTAGAACTGCCAAGACTCCTTTCTTTCAAAATGTCACTCCAACCTGCATAGAACTCGGCACCTGCATTTCCCACATGCTTGTATAAGGTCAAGAACAAGATCAGCTTCATAGCATCCTTAGAGCTGACTCTTAATTGATGCTCAGTAAACTTCAGCCTTCTGTCCCTTCAGAACACTTTTATTGTGGATGACCTTTGAACCCATTACTGGCAGGGAGTCCCAGTCATTTTCTTTCCTTGGCAAATGTAAAGAAGTCATCTCTCCACCTTGAACTTTGAGAGCCCAGTCCCTCTGACTGCTCTGAGAGCACCTTATTTAAGTCAGAAAGTTTTCTAAACAAGCAAATACGCAGGCATAAATGCATGGCAACTCTTCTTCCTCTACAGTTCATTTACAGGCCTCCTTCAACTTTTTCATGTATTTGTATCTTTAACTCCCTGTACTGAATTTTCTTGGCTTTGAAGAATTGATTGGATTTTCTCAACCTCAGGACTTTGCACATGTTGATCATGTGCTGATTCATTAGTTATAACTGTAGCCTAAGTTTTATACTGACACACAGAGGCGTAACAAATGAATTTAATGATAATATTCTTTATCCACACGTGTACATACTGGGATGCCAAGTCAGGTTAAAAATACCTGTAATCTCAAAATGTTACTCAGCAACTTTCCAGTAATTTGTTTTGACATTTGTTGCCCCCTCTGGTGTGTATGTTAGTAGTGCTGTGTTCTGATGTGCTTGGACTTCTTTTTGGTATTAGGAGTTAATTTTTGGTATGCCACTGAGAAAGATCTGTTTTATTTTATCACTGTCCTCTCCTCTAGCAATTGCTATCATTCTCTTAATATAGTACTCTAAAATTGTATCTGTAATTTAATTTGAATACTCTTGACTTATAAAAGTTATTTGTGTTTGAGTTATGTAATATATTGCCAGTATTTTTTATTACACATGAAACTGACATGATTTATTTGAAACAGGGTCTCATATTACAGACCCATTGTCAGTCTCTTGCCCCCCCCAATCCTTTTTGAGTTATAGTAGCCCTTCTTCCAACCACTGAGGATGCTATGACCCTCAGTGGATGCCCTAAACCTTGAAGAGAACAGAGCCCTATGTATTCTGTGTTTTTATTAAATATACATATGTCCATTGGATTGTCTGGGACCAGAACTATAGGCAGTTGTTAGCCTCCACGTGGGTGCTGGGAATTAAATGTGGGTACTTTGGAAGACCATGTAATGCTCTTCACTATTGGGCAATCACTCCATCCCCATTGTATATGTTGGGGTTCTATAAGGATGACTCCTGGAAGTAATGGGGATTTTTAACATAGATTTCCATATATTCTATCCCATAATACTAATCTCTGAAAATTGGAGTTTCATGGGTCTGGGAGAGTACCAATTGGTGTAGTGTTTATTGCATGAACTTGGGATGTAGTAAATACTGAAAACAAAACGTTTCTGGTTCACAAACTTGAGGACCTGAGTTCAGTCCCAATACCCACCCACATAAAAACTGTGGCAATGGTGTGTGCCTATTACACCAGGGCTTGAGAAAATAG